CGTTGAAGGCGTTTTTACACCGTAATAAGCCCCCTCTTCCGGCAGGCAGAAAGACGAAAACAGGATCTGAGGCCAGAACCCACTCCACATCGTGTCTCCCCTTTAAACTGTTAAAGCTCTGTTCGGCTCTCGGGAAGCTGTAGCATTTGTTCTACTGATTTTATTCTAGGCTATCTTTATGTTAAATATTTTGCTATGTATGGATGTATTGAATTGTCTTTATTTAAGCCAGCCTTTGCATGTCGAACTAGATACGATATGTCAGGCGGGGTATTGTGTCACTTCAGCAGAGGAAGAAAATTTTATAGATTTACTTTGTAGCTTTAAACCTCTTATACTATCATTTTGTCAGTCCACAAATGGCACCTTTTATGTAGAGTGTTTCAAATGCTAATTATTTGTCACTATGAAACAGAAAATATATTTAAAGGTGCTGAAATTGAATATATTTTGATATTTTCTTTCTGTTTGCTCTGTCTGCAGGTCATGCACTGCAATTACACAGTGGTGATCGCACCATCATTTACAATTAAAAAATAGAACACTAAAGAGGAATATTATAAAAAGAAAAAAGTTGTGTGCTGGGCAAAAGGTAAACCTTCACCTGGCTCCCATGGTGGCTGTCAGAAATCCTCCCCTCCACACCCTCAGCCATGCCTGCTACTACCAAACCCACCAGGAGGCAGACACCTGCTCAGAGAAACAAAGGCCAGAAAGTGATCAGCACCAAGAGATACACGTGTAATCCAAATAAACCCAAAGGAAGAACCACAGAGAGGCCCAAGAAAACACCAGCAGAATCTAAAAGGTCAGTAGCCAGAGCCCAGGCAAGGTCAGGCCAAAGCCCCCGTGGAAGAGGAGTTAGTAGGCCTGCTGGTGAGTGCCCTGGCAGGTCTCCTGGCAGAGCTAACAGGGCTCTTAATGTAACTAGATCTCCAAGGCTTAGACAGCTCAGCAATCCACCTGACCACTATAGGGAGTTAGAAGACCCCCGAGGGCGAAGGAAGTCTCTCCGGGGCTCTCAAGGGTCTGTTGCTCCTTGTCAGCCACCTAAACCTTGCAGAGGAGGGAGAAACAGCAGAGGGAGCACAGAGAGACGGTTGGCATCACAGCAAAAACGCACAAGAAACCAGCCCTCAAACACCAGCTTTAATGATTCAGCTCCTGGAGAGGAAAATGAGAAAGTCAATACCTGTGATATTGAAATCCCTCCAGTTTGTCTAAAAACTGATGTTGAGGTTCCTGTGAGTATTAAAGATCAGGTTTCAGGAGTCAACAATGCTAAAGAGGGCAATCCTCTTAAAGCAGATTCACCACCATATAACGACACACTGGAAGACTGTGTGCAGTGCAGCTGTGACAGTACAAGACAGCAAGACAAAAAGACTGTCAGCCATAGCGGTGAAGGTGACCTAACGTGTGTAACCGGGACCCCTGTGTGTGAAGATGTTGATGGACAGCCAAAACTCTGCAAAGACAGAAGGAAAGATAACACCTCTGAAACCTCTGTGCTAAATAGTGTTGGCTCAGCAGAGGTGCAGGGGGGCAGTGAGAGAAATGTCAGTTTACCTATGCTTGAAAACACGCTCGATCATCTTGCCAATGATGGTACGCAAGATAATGTGTGTACTGTTCACCAAGAGGAAGGTAACATGTTGGACTTGAAAG